TAGTTATTTAAAATTATAAAAACGTAATGTTAACTAAGCTCCTTAAATGTAAGTTTGGATATTGTCTGATATTTTCAGATTAATTGTGCATGTTTTCAAAAAAAAATCATTCAAGTTTAGTTTATTATTAAAGAAAAATGACTTTAATTTGATAGTTGATAATATACAACTGATAATATATACTATTGAATCAAATTCATTTCAACTTGAAGACAGCGGACGATGTTGAAATTCTTATTTGAAAATTTCCAACATTCCTCAAGGAAGGTTCTCTGGAAACAAAAAGATCCGCAATCTTCCTCGGCAGTTTCCTCTCTTGCTAAAGCGAATGATTTATTCCGTGCACTTGCGAGAGAGGAACGGATATCCAACGTAACAGAAATCTATCTTTTTTTTCTTCTTCCTCTTCTCTCCTCCCTTCGGTGATTCTTCGATTTCATCTTCGCGTCTTCTGGAAGAAATGCAAGCGTCGAAATGCGAATGATTTCAGGCACGACGAGACGAGGGAATATAGTGGTAGGTCCCAGTGACTTTAAAACCCGTTTTGACCAAAGTAATTTATTTGTTTCATTAAAAACTTAGACGTTGGAATGCGACCTCTACACGTGTGACGGGTATAATATGTAAAACTAAACGCTACGATATATTTATATTTATCAACTATACGCTTATTTTTCTTTACGATTCCTCACTGGTCAACGTAAATATATATCATGTATTACGTGTGATAATAGAATAATAGCAGCTTTCATACACACTACGTATACATATATACGCACGCACATATGTACGTATACGTACAGTGTATATATACACTGTTCGAGAGCGATAATTAAATCTCCAATGCGCGAACTACCGCGTGCTGTTCCCTCCTACCCCCGTACATTGTATTTTTTTTTTTTTTTTTTTTTTTCCTTTTTACAAGCGAACGTTTGATTGTCGAGCCAGGACATACGCAGGACATACAAAGAGCGAGGAACGAGAAAAACATTTGTAAGTTACAATCACAATTCCCCCGTCGAGATTTTTTTTCATCCGAGTTTACAAATCCAATACCACATGACATTTCGCTTCGTTGATGTTGTTAATGACATAATTTTGAGTCGCCCTCCTCGGACGTGTTTTGTCCCCACATAAATTTTTGTATTGCATTATCATTACGTATTATCGTTCACACAATTATCATTATTTTTTTTAATTTTCTTTCTCAAATTATATTTGAATCTGTGTGATCTGTGTATTGGCGCCGTTTGAAAGCCAAGAAATTAAAGATAGTAATAGTATAGGCATAATTTTTGTGATCGCATATGAGAATCATGGTTTTTTTTTTTAATATTGGCTGCTCTCCTCAACTTTACGATTAATTTCTTTCGTCCGTCGTACTTCATTCCTTGTACTCTCTCCTCATCCTCTCGGTAAACACTTGACAGTGACATTATATCAATATTGCAATTTCCTATTCAATACAAATGTGATATAACGCATGTTGTACATAGTTTCATTATTGAGTTAGAAATTATGATATCGATGCGATGTCACTGTCGCCCGTATAAAAAACTTTCTAGAATTATATATAGATATGTCCAAATATAAAAATATATAATTATATATGATTATAATATAAAATAAAATAATATATAATATAAAATAAAAAAAAATATATATATATAACTATACAACTTTATGTATATATATTTTTATATGTAGACATATTTTATATATGACGTCTTATACATATATAATTATATCTAATTATATAGGATGATATTGTAAAAGTCAATCGTTCGGGAGGTGATTTGAGATCCAGAAAGAACAAGAACAAAGTTGATACGAACATAGATCCACAAATGCATTGTTTTCGAGTTATTGCTATTTTTGAAATTTCATATTGCTTTGCAAATGTTAAAAACAGCCTACAACTTTTATTTGACTTTAATTATAAAACTCATAAAGATCGTCTCTTCTTTCAATTTTGACCAAAAAATTCGAAAGCAAAACAATTTCAAATTTCAACATAGAATGGCGATAACTCGAAAACAATGCATTTTCGAAACGTATGCTCATATCAACTTTTTTCTTTTTTTTTCGAGTTGCCCATTCCTCTCTCGAGTGATTAACTTCGACTTGTAGAACATTCCGTATGTGAAATGTTTTTTTTATCGGGCGTTTACCGGGCCCGTTCCGACATTTTACTTATGTCCTGGCTCGCTGTCGCGCCGCTCTACCACCCCCCCCCCCCAC